TATTCATTTTTTTACATTCAATTTTCGCCCTTTCCATCCGATGTCGTCTCATTTCCGTTTCGAAAATTCTGAATTTCAGTATGGAAGGACATCCAGAGGATCCATTTGCCCTGGAAAGGAAACACTGAGCCACAGCTTCGGAGCGCATTCCTGTCAATTCTGCCCCTTGCTTCATTGACAACTGTTGTACTGATCCGAATGATAATTCTTATCAGTAACCGCACTTTGAATCCAAATGATTCTTTGCCGGACGGCTGTGAACAAATGAACACTGCAATCTGTCATATCATATGAATAGTTTTTATGAATTCGTTGTTGTGCCATTGTTCTTCGTCTTATCGAACGCTGCTGGGGTGGTGAGACGAACGGGTTCCCCACAGAGAAAAAAGGCAGAATCCTCGTGAGCGATTGTGTCGTATCAGGTAGTAATAGTGAATAGCTGTAGGAAAAAAGTGACATTCGTTCGTCAAGTCTGCAGACAGCTATAACCATGAACCAGCTCCAAAATAAACTAAAAATTTCAGAGCGTTTGGCCAGCCGAGCCCTGCATAGCCACTAGTTGCAATTCTAGAGTTCTTAGGATTGCCCTGCAACGCAACTTTGTTCTCGACCGTTAGTTAGCCCTTGAAGATGGATTCCCCCTCCCAGGTTCCATGGAAAATCCCACTTCAGCGGTGCCTCCTTCCTGCCCACCTCTTCGAGTATGTGGGTAAGCCGTGCTCATCACTCCCTGCGGGTCTTATCTAGCTGCCTCGCCTCGTGCCATGCCGCTCTTGGTTCCCAAGCCGTGGTGGCTTTTTCCTTACTATCACCTCCAACCCTCTTCTCCAGATGGGCTACCCACTTTTGTACCACGTGGTCAGGAAACTATTGGAACGAGATTAAACACCCCAAGAGAGGGTGCGCTATGTAAACTGCCATCGACCGGTTTCACATCACGTGGTGGAGGAACTCGACTGAAGTGAGTCCAAGCTGATAACAACGGAGAACGTTCACGTTCCTATCGACTTACTGAATACGAAGAAGGAGGTTACGTGCAAAGGCTAATTGTCTGGGCTTGGCGATAAAGCAATAAATATGGAAATGAATGTCAATTGCAGTTACCGATCCCTTATGGAAGTGACCCGCCTCCTCCCCTCTAGTGAAACAATGCTATGAGAAAGAGCTAGGGTATATGGGAATACTGGCAGCTCAAAAGCCTTTTGTCAATAAATCATAAAAGTGAGCGCTTTTGATTTTTGGTGTTGGGGCACGTGGGGCCATGGGCCAAATAAGCATGAAAGCGATATTACTTTTCTGAAAAAAAGGTGCGTGTCGCATACCAAAGCGAATTGATCAAAGATGAGCACTTCTTTCAAGATATTAGTATGGAATAGGTTGGAGTCATTGGACGAATAAATAAAATGCATTAGAGGCATCGAAAACATAATAAAGTGAATAAAAAATGATAAACATAAAGGGTACGACCTCATAGGATTTACCGATCGCTTTTTATGGGCACCCAAACATTTCCCTTTCATGCGGAACCATATCGGTATTCATGTCGCCAGAACCCGGACCACCTGAGCTGACCAAGCTTTTCATACTTGGAACGCATAACAAGTTTTAGTATAAGCCGAGGTAGTGGTTAACTTCTTAATCCTTCGGGACTGACCCCCGGGCACGAAAGACTCGGTCAGTTTAGGCGGTCCGGGTTCTAACGAAGGCACCCCACTCGTGAAGACCCCTTAGCACAACCCCACCTCCGCCGTAAACAAAGTCTAAACCGACTACCAACGAGAATGTCGCTTCAATGAAAAATTACGTGACCGTTGCCACATTTCGAACAACAGCCGTGACCAATCTTAGTTACAGTGGGATGGCTGTTATTTAAAGTTATCAAACCATCAACATGCACGTTCAGGGTCATACGAAGGTTATTGGTCTTCAATTCTGCTTACGTTTCAGGAGGTATGGTTCTCTTCTACTTGCAACTACTGCGATTAGATATTTGATCTCATAAACTGGTGACGTAAAGGGTGTTATAAAGATGATATAGGTAGTTTAGGTCTAAATTCAGTTATTTTTCACCAAAAATTCATCTAAAATTAAGAACAAGCTAGTAAGTGCATGGATATGCATATGTATGTGTGTGCATGCTTTCGCGCGATAGCACCCCCTCCAATCGATAGCGATCAATATCCATTTTTTGAGATAGATATTCATAGTTCTTCAGATGTAGTGCTGTCAAATTTCGAGGACGTAGAAGAGTGGTGTTAGCTTTATCACAATGATAATGATGGTCATCAGACAGTTGGCGTAAGCCAGTATCGACTGATGCCGACTGTCAAAGCACTATGATCAATCGACTATTGATTGCTTTTTTTACACCGAAATGGTTAAAGTCAGATGAAGGCCAGGCGAGTAGTACACTGAAAACAATCACTTCTCTCGCTTACTCTTAAGCAGTGCCATTACTATCGAACGCTTAGGGTATCTCTACTACTAGAGATTCAATGTCTAATGAACATTCTGCGGCCTATGCTAGTGGAAAGAAAAGAATCTCTAATGAAATTTTATTAAACTAGGATAACGCCTCAATGGCCCTTCATTTCCATTCCTTGAATGTTTCTCACATGGTTGACGATTATGGATTTCAGAAAACCGCGTGCCACCTTTTGGGAATATTCCTGCCTGAGCTAAGATTACTGGAAACCCTGTATTTAGAAAACCATATCGAAGAAAAAATGCTCACTACTGAATACA